GATGTCCTTTTAATAATAAATTACAAACCTAGTGGAATTCTGAATATGAAATGTCCATTCTTCTCTCTGAATTTACTATGCTTACCTTTAACAATCTCAGCTAACTTAATACCTGATCATTTTCAACCGTGTCATCTCTTAAGTCTCTGTCTTAATCACTGTTCCTTTTTCTCTCCCTTTGTGTTTAGTGCTGTTTCTCCATTATGTTTCTGTTGTCCTTGTTGTCTTGGAATCCAGCCATTCTCCCATTATCTTAGCATGGGCCTTGAGATTCCATCTTGTGCATGCTCTGCATGAGTGACTCAATCCAGTATCTCTACTGGTATTGGTTTGTTTCTTCTTCTGTGACTATAAACCAATATGTATGTATGTACTTATGTATACATATATGTATATATATGTATATTTCTGTGTCTGTTCCATTGTCAGTATGAGATTTTTCAGACTGCATCCACCCTTGAAGCCAAAAGCAAATTAAAAAAATGTACTTTCAGTGTACCCTAGGTAACATTTCCCAGGGCTCAGATGTGACAATGTGATCTGATAATTAAATTTATATCTCCTGGAAGTGCACTGCACTGATGTTGGTTTTGATAGGCAATGTAAAACCTGCTGGTGACCTTCCAAGCCTCCCTTGTGCATATACATGCATTCATAGAATCATTGTTATATGCATGCATGTATATGTATATTTGTGTGTTTATCTTATGCATGATGTTTGTGCATTGTTAGTTTGTAGATAGTATTTTTTGTGGGGCCCTTGTAGGTCTGAATCGACTTTTCTATGAATGTGTCTAAGATATCAATGATTAAACTAAATGAAGTCTTCTGTGTATACATAGACCATACAAGTATGGTCTGTGTTATCCACGGTTTTTCTTTATGTTTTGTTTTTGGACAAGCCATAATATGTTTCAATTGTTTAATCGTGTTTGTACAGTGCATGTCATGTGTTTAATAAGCCACTCTTTTCCTTGCCTTGTATATGTCATCATCTTCCTTGTGTTTCATTCCAGTTCGCCGTGTCCCACCAAGATTCTCTATCCCACCCACTAATCATGAAATCATGCCAGGTGGAAGTGTTAATATCACCTGTGTGGCAGTGGGGTCACCAATGCCTTATGTGAAGTGGATGTTGGGGGCAGAAGATTTGACACCTGAAGATGACATGCCTATTGGGAGAAATGTCTTAGAACTGAATGATGTAAGACAGTCAGCAAATTATACCTGTGTTGCCATGTCAACACTAGGAGTCATTGAAGCAATAGCACAGATCACTGTCAAAGGTATGTATATGTCAGAGTGCTCTCAACACACCTGATTCATGTTTCTTTCCTTAGAATTCTACAATGCCTCTATTTAGTGCTCAAAATTTTAAATGCAGAGAACCTAATCATACTTAAGATAATCATTATATATAAGCTACAAGGACCTTTGGTAATCAGATTTTTATTTAAAATAAAGTATTGGATAACTAAATAGAGATTATTAGCAAAATATGTAGCAATGCATTGTACCCAGACACCAATCAAACAGGATTAGGAATGCTAGATCAGCTCATGCATTGTTGTAATATTAGGTTTAATATAAGTCCCGAGCCTTGATTAATGCTGCAAAACAGATCCAAATAAGTAGTACCAATAAGTCATTACCAATAAAAACAAAAAAATGTAAATATTATTTAATTTGGTTTGGTTTTATTTTGTACTTTGCATAGATGAAATACTACCTTCTTGACATAAACATATTAAACCAAAGCAAAGTGCAATATTCTATGAATAGTTTTCAATAAAAATATAAAACAGAAAAAAATAAAAATGAACAATATTAAAAAGTAGTAATAGCAGTTTTATTTGCCCAATATTTGTAGAATTGTAGAAAATATGCACATTGGATCAGACTGAGTGTGACTTGAGTTTACTGCAAATGTTAGAATTATTGCAAAATGAACAAATCATCTTCCCTTAGTAGAAAGAATGCACTTAGACATGTTATAATTGTTGTCTTATCATTAAACAAGCATAAAAGCCAATAATGTAACTTGAGTACACATAAATGACATTTATAGTCATTTAAAATAACATTATGTATTTTAATGTATTAAACCTACTGTAGTTTCATATTACAGACACAAAACTTACATTGTGCCATAAATATTACTTGCCAAAGCTAATAATGTCAGCTAAATATCAACATATAAGACTTTAATTAGCAACATTTTTATTTACCTTAAAAGTTCACAAAGACATGTAGAAGAAATCTGGCTTGCTCCCTTCTTTGAAAAATACAATAAAGTGTCAAGCTAGAGGATTTGAACAAATGTCTTTTTTATTATTTTTAGAACATTTACCAGGCCAAATATTATCATACTTTTGTTTTTAGGGTAATATGCCAATATTGAATCATCTCTTTTCATAATGACTATTTGTGCTTTAAATATTTGAAAGTTTGTGAAAGGCTTTAAAGAATGCAAAAGCAGGAGTCACATTGAACTAATGTCTGTTCACGTTCTTATCTTTGGTTTCCTAACTGCCAATTTCTCACCCTGTGTACTTCAGAAATTCAGCATAAGGGTATATATTGAAGGCAAAAAGAAAGAAAAAAAGATAGAAATCAAAATGAAAAGAAATGCTTGAAAGAGTGAGGAAACGTCATTCAGTCAATCTTCAGGAAAAAGCTAGTTGGTGCCAGGCAATGTTATGGTGCTGAGAATACAGGAAAAAGCTGATGCTTTTTAGAAAGCAACAATTCCCAGGGCTGTTGTAACTTTTGCCTTTATGTTGAAAAGGACCTAGGTATACAAATAAATTGGTCATAGAATACTATGTTATGAGTGTCCTTAAAAATCTGACTACTAGATTCGGGCATCAATGGCTCACACCTATAACCCCAGCTACTCAGGAGGCTGAGATCTGAGGATCACACTGCAAAGCCAGTCCAGGCAGGAAAGTCCATGAGACTCTAATGTCTAATAAACCACCAGAAAATCGGAAGTGGCATTGTGGCTCAAGTGGTAGAGCGCTCGCTGTGAGCTGAAGAGCTCTGGGATAGTACTTAGGCTGAAGAGCTCAGGGATAGTACTTAGGCCCAGGGTTCAAGCCCCTTGACTGACACACAAACAGAAAAATGCTGACTACTAGATTTTTCATTTTCTGGATTTTAAATCAAGAAAAGGGGAGTTAAGGACTTAACTTAAGCAGTGGACACGGCTTAAGCAGTAGAGTGCTTGCCTAACAAACCGGAATTCAATTCCTTGTAACTCATCAATACAGATAGCTTGTATGATTAAATAGCATCGTTTTGAGTATGATTCTACTCAAAGAAGAACATTAGATCTCTCAGATGGATTTAAAAGTTTATTTTCTCAACTACTATAGTTTTAAACATATCTGATGTAGAATGTAGAACATTTATTGTTACTGATAATAAAATGTTTAAAAAGTTGTTTGCAAATGGCTTAAGTTCTTTTAGGATATATAATAATTAAAAATGGGGCCAGGGGCCTGGGAAGGTGTCTCAGTGGTAGAGCGCTTGCCTTGCATGCATGAGGCCTTGGGTTCCATTCCTCAGAACCCTATAAGCAAAAAGAAAAAAGCTGGAAGTGGCACTGTGGCTCAAGTGGTAGAGCGCTAGCCTTGAGCTGAAGAGCTGAGGGACAGTGCCCAGGCCAACACAACTGGACCAAAAAAAAAAAAAACAATAAAAATGGGGCCTAGAATTATTATTCTTTTTTACTTTAAAATTCTTCAGTGTATGTTTTGATATGTACATATGAATAGTGATATAAAAGAGGATCCTATGCATGCTGGGTAAGCATTCTATTCCAGCTCTACTCTCAAGTCTTGGTTACAAAAATTCTAAGAACTTTTCTTTTTAATTAGTTTAATAACATTTGCTGTTATTTATTTCTATTATTTATTTATTGTGGCACGGGTCATGTGACCAACATCTTTGTATAATCTATGCAACTACTGATTCTTTTGAGGGTGACAGGTCCATTCTAAGGGATCTCATTCATCTTCATAGCAAACTCATGAAGCTCGAATTCAGATACACACTACAGCTCCAGTAATTACGGTTTTCCCATTTTCCACATGAAGAAGCTAAAGCTAAGAGAGGTTACTAACACAACCTGGATCTCTCAGCTAATAGTACATGGCAGATTTGGATACAAAATGTGTGCAATCAATATATGCCCAACTATATGCAATCAATGTGTAGAAGTCAACTAGAATTACTGTCCTCTGTGTATGTCTCACTGTACATTCTGACCTCTCTGAATGCTGTCTTTTGCTTTGATTTCATCCAGTCAGTCATTCAATAGCTATATAGTCCTGTCATTCCAAGTGCAGAATATTGTGGATTCTTGTAACATCATGGAGAAGACGAGTCTTCATTCTCTTTTCTCTGTTCCTAAGCCTTACCCAAACCTCCAGGAACTCCAGTAGTGACTGAAAGCACTGCTACAAGCATCACCTTAACGTGGGACTCTGGGAACCCTGAGCCTGTCTCCTACTACATCATTCAGCATAAACCTAAAAATTCTGAGGAACCTTACAAAGAAATCGATGGGGTAGCAACCACACGCTACAGTGTTGCTGGACTAAGTCCCTACTCGGATTATGAATTCAGAGTTGTAGCTGTCAATAACATCGGGCGGGGGCCTCCCAGTGAACCTGTGTTAACACAAACCTCAGAGCAAGCACCATCCAGTGCCCCAAGGGATGTCCAGGCACGGATGTTGAGCTCAACCACCATCTTGGTACAGTGGAAGGAACCTGAGGAGCCAAATGGACAGATCCAAGGATACAGAGTGTATTATACCATGGATCCTACTCAACATGTCAACAACTGGATGAAACATAATGTAGCAGATAGCCAAATCACTACCATTGGCAATTTAGTGCCCCAGAAAACATATTCAGTCAAAGTGTTGGCTTTTACCTCAATTGGAGATGGTCCTCTCTCAAGTGACATACAAGTCATCACTCAGACAGGAGGTAAGTCAGGTTTAGCAGGGAAGTCAAACCAGACAGAGAGGTTAGGAGTTAGAGATGGGAAAGGTGTAAAGAGAAAACTAATAGTATTATATACGTTTTGGGGATTTAGGGCTTCAGATTGAGGGGCTGTCAGTCTAAAAAGGAATAAAGAACTAAAAGCATAACCATTTTAACTAGCAGTATGTTGTTGGCAGCCTAATTCTGGAAAGGCTGGAAGAATATCTCCTCTTTGCACTGATTTGAACAGCATGAAACTATGTGACTTTAGGTTAGTGGTTCTTTTAGTGTCTTAAGCTGTTATTTGACTTTTGTAAATTTGGAAGCTTCAAGATAAAGTTGAAGATAAAGCTGTCAAGGGAGCTAGAATATTTAAATCTTTTATTCCAGGAACCTGCTTGCTTACAAGTAAATATTTTCAGAATGCCTCAGGATTTTATTTTCCTTTAGATGGCCTTGTTGGATGCAAAAGACAGCTGACACAATCTCAGACTGATTTGGGAGGCCTGGTTTGCCTATTTTATGATGTGCAGGAGCAGATGCAAAAGTATCTTATGATGAAAACGTGGTCCTATCTGGCTTTATTTTCATAAGAAGATATCAAACTCCTTTGATATTTGATTCAATTGATGTTTTGCCTTGGTTTGGGAATGTTAAATAATACATTTCTTATAAAGAGTATTCTAGAGCATCGAAGAAAGAAGCTATTCATTTGTTATAGTGGTGGCTCTTTGACCGCGTGCATTAATATATGATGATTTTGACAGCAGGGCTAGGTTGCTCTGAAACTCTACATGCAAACCTTATTACTAGAGTCAGTATAAAAACATAATCCATTGTTAATTGTGGTGATGAACTACAATTTTCTCAGGTGACCAAACTAGATAATATACCCATTATCTTGTTTCATTGAGCCTCTGACTTGTTTTCATAGATGGCCCTACTTTATATAATCATCGGATTCAGTTTACTATATTTAATTGCTCTGAGTGATCTCAGCATATTTACACCTGGCCTGCTTTTGTTTTATTTTCATACATTTTTGGCTCTTTTTAAATTTGATACTTTCCCTATTACAGTACACAAATGCTAACTATACAAATGTATGTTTTATCACACTTGTACTGTCACACATCAATTTTCTCTTCCTGGCTTTTTCAGTCTCTCTCAAATTATTTGCTATATTAATAGGCAGAAAAATTCTTTCAACTGACTTTATTTTAAAAGCTTTTCAGTAAAGAAAATAAAAATCTGAATCTAGTTCTAAATTTTTTCCTACTTGTTCTAATCTTTCAAAAGTGGTTAAATTCATTTGAGATTCTTTCTTATATGATTCTAGCAGCTCTATAACCGTGAACCATGATGATAAGGAGGTAGATGGCAGCGTATTTTCTATTTCAAACCTTTTCAATTTTTCAGCTGTGATGTGTATTGCATCTTTTATGTTAGAGTAACATAACCATAGTTTAAATCCTAAACTATCATTTGTTAGCTCGGTGAATTTGCCCGAGTTAATTCATGTGTCAGCTTCAGTTGCTATGAAGAAAAATCCCTGCAATAAATAACTTCAAAAGGGAAAAATAGTTTATCTGGGCTTATAGTTTCTGAAATTTCACTCTATGGTTGATAGGCTCCATTGCTTTAGTTTCTCTGAGGAGGCAGAACATGGAAGGGAACGTTTGGTAGAGTAAAGCTCATTTCCTAGCTGTAAAGCAAAGAGCATAACATAACAGATTACCAGTATAGTCTTCAAGAGCACACACCCAAGCACCTAACTTACTCACACTAAGGCTCATCTCCTGTAGGTTCCACAACTTATCAGTAGAAACACAGACTGACAATCAAACCTTTAACATATGGCCTTTTGGGGGAATGTTTAAGATTCTGCAAAAAAAAATTTTCTGTCAGTCGTGGGACTTGAACTCCGGGACTGGGGCGCTGTCCCTTAGCTCTTCAGCTCAAGGCCAACCCTCTACCCCTTGAGCTACAACACCACTTCCGGGAATGTTTAAGATTTAAACCATAAAACTTTATTCTGAACTTTAGGTTTCTAAGCTATAATAACAACCACGCTTAGACTTTTTGTAGTATTTTTTTTTCCTAGGGCTACTGCCATAGTTTTCAAATATTAGCTAATATAAGCACAAGAATCTCTAGTTTCACATTTCCAGGACCTAGGATACCCAAACACAAGGGCTGGCAGGGTTGCTTCCTATGCAAGTTATGAGGAAAAAATGTTTTCTACACCTCTCTCCTAACTTCTAGTGACTTATGGCAATGTTTTTGCTTACTGGCTTGTAGAAACCACATCTGATATCTTCTTTCATCTCTACCTGGTGTTACTCCTATCAACAATCATTGTTTGAAAGACCAGTAGTCAAAGTAGATTAGGGCCTTTTTATGTAACCTCATTTTTGATCTATTATATATTTAACTCATTCAATTCCATTCAAAACTGAAAGTGGAGAAGATACTTGAAAATTTAGTAAGTAAAATATAATGATGATGATGATGATGATGATGATGATGATGATGATGATGATGATGATGATGATGGCTAATGTATAATCAATACAATGCTGTGAAATTCTCATGTACTTATCATCATTGTCCAATTGGTATGAAATTACCCCATTTGACAATGAGCAAATTGAGGATCAAAGAGAGTAAAAATAATTTGGAAACTTCTCTTGGGTCATCAGGTTCCTCAGAAGAAAAGACAAAAATATTTTTTTATTGTAAAGATACTGTATAGAGAGGTTACACAGTTACATGAGTAAGAATGAGTACACTTCCTATCAAACATTGTTATCTCCTCCTTTGTTTTTCCCCAACTATCCCTTCCCACTCACCTCCCCAAATCTTTCCTCTCTCCGCTTGAAGTTGTAAAGTTCATTTTCGACATAGTGTCTTGTACATCTCAATGTTACAATGAGTCATTCTGTATCCGTATTTAAGTATTTTGTTATTTCCTTCCCCTCTCCAAATTAAAAACTGTATAAACAAGATGCAGGGCACCAGAATCAAATACAGTGAAAACAGGGGTTTTACCATGGGGGAAAACATACAAAAGAAACATTAAAACATTAAAAACAACAGCCAGAAAGATAAAAACCTCTTGTGTCCCTAACTTGGGATTCATTTTGCTTAGTATCATCTTCTCTGGTCATATGTACATAGCTTTTGACCTTTTCTGCTTGCACTAGACATATACTAGTTATTGCAAATAAGGAAAACCATGGGATCTATGTTTCTTTGGGCTTGGTTTACTTCACTTAATATATATTTTTCTAAGTCTTTCCATTTCCGAACAAATGGGTCAGTGTCTTTCTTTCTGATGGAGGCATAGAATTCCAATATATATACATATATGTGTGTGTATATATATACATACATACATGTATATATATATATATATATATATATATATCACATTTGCTTGATCCATTCATCTACTGAGGGGTATCTGGGTTGGTTCCATATCTTAGCTATGGTGAATAATGATGCAATAAGCATAGTTCCACTGGTAGCTTTATTATGACCTTGTTTATGATCGTTTGGGTAAATGCCCGAAAGTGGGATATCTGGGTCATAGGGGAGCTCTATATGGAGTCTTTTGAGGAACCTCCATACTGCTTTCCAAAGTGGTTAAACAAGGTTACACTCTCACCAACAATGCAGTAGGGTTCTCTTTTGGACACATCCCCTCCAGCATCTGTTGTTATTAGAAGAAAAGAAAATTTGAATCCATCACTTTTAACCAGCATCATTTTTTAAATCAGTTGTTCTTTATGTGATAGTCTTACTCTTTTGAGCCTATAATAGTTCAAGCAAAAAATAGAAGCAAAAGAGAAAATCAACATGTATCATTTATTCAAGTCTTGAAGATTTTAATATGTTATTTCTGGAATACTTGAGGTTACTTTTAGATTATACCAGCGCAAAAGTACTCTGAAAAAAATAAGTAAGAGTAATATTTGTTTTCTTTATAAGGTTATTATACTCAATCACTAAATTGGGATCTAAGTTTTGTAACCACAAATTTCAATACAGAAATCAATATTTCACATCTTTATTTTCTGAGGGTAAGAATATTTAGCCACCCTAGAAACAGGTTGTTCTAAAGCAAAATTTGACCAACATTTGGAAATAAAAATCCTGAGATTCTTTGTGTTGAGAACATCAAATGACAGACCACATGTGCCTTCAATTATAATGCAGTAAAATTAGATATATGTATAAACAGAGCGTATTGTTATTTTAATACTACCAGTGGATGTTATATAACATTGAATATCTTGATGAAATATGTGTTGGAACAGAGGCATTTGAGTTAATGTGATCTAAGGACCTTGCTTTTAGAAAGCCTAATTTGTTTCAATAACGAAATTTAGAAACTGTAGATACATTTGCCATGGAATATCTTAGAATAGTTTTCTATCTCTCTAACTCCTTTTTACATTAAGCAGTTTCTAAGAACTTGCCATGATAGTTGTACTTTTAATGCCCATTGATTGAGAAGATATATAATGACATAAAGACTTGTGCTTGCCAAGATCAACAGGCTAAGAAAACCCTCCAAAATAGCCCAGCAATTTGATCTGTTCCATAAACATAATTAACAAAGGCCATTTTATGTTAGTGGACACCTGCCAAATACAATGATGTGAGTTCTGATATAATTAATGTTGACCTGATCCTTTTTCTTCTGTGGACCAGCTATTCTTAGCAGCATTGCACTGTAAGGACAGAAATCCATTGTCAAATATTCTTTTAGATAAGTCATGTAAACTTAAGGTCTGATTCTTTTACTGCAATTTTTATCTCTTCTCAGCCTCCCCAAACTCACTATTCAAAAATATGTATGGATTTGAGCATGCCTGAATTCCCTATACACAGAAATAAACATTTTTATGTCTTTTGTGCTGGCAGGTGCTCATCTCCTTACATTATCCTTAATTCTCTGATGCTCACATTCTTAGCTTTGTTTAAAATCAAACACA